CCCTCAGGGACTGTTTCCCAAGGATGCCCCCCCTGACCCCCCCCCCCTTCGCGACCCCCCTTGGCCAGTTCAGCCCTCCTCCCCCCCCCCCCCCGTCTGCTGTAGCGGCTCACCTGGTCCAGAGATGGGGGGAGGGGCATCATGTGCCCAGATGAGAAGGCAGCTCCGGGGGGGCTTTTTGATTGGCATGAGCCCTGGGAGGCCATGGGTCCAGCCCCTTCTTGGCAGACCCCTTTTCCACCCCCCCCCCCCCCTTCGCGACCCCCCTTGGCCAGTTCAGCCCTCCTCCCCCCCCCCCCACCTGGGCCCCGGGCGGCCCGCTCCAGCAGACGGGGGGGGGGCTGAAGGGGAAGGACGGGTGGGAGGCAGGGGAGGGAAGGGGGTGCCTGGAGACCCCGGGACTAGAAGCTGGGCCTCTGCGGGCAGCAGGGCTGGCAAGGCTGCCCCACTAGGGGCCTCCCTGCTGGAATTGGCATCTGGCTCTTGGGGGGGGGGGGCTTGTGGTGAGGCCAGACCGGGGCTGGCAAGGAGCAGACAGCCCGTTTTGCCAGCCATCCCATGCCCATAATCAGCCTCACCCCCTCTTTGCCTCCTCAGGAAATGCTCCCCCCCCCGGCTTCCTGGGGTTGGTCTGCTCCACTCGCCTTGCAGTTCTTAGGGGCTCCCAAGATACGAAGCCTTTGTGCAGAGCATCGGTTCTCTGGGGAGGGCGGGGGGCACCCCCTTTCCCTGCCCTCTTTGTGTGCTTGGCAGTTGCTTTCTCTGTGGAGCCGCAGGAGGCCCCTTCAGCCCACTCCCTCTGGGGGATGCTTGCCCCACTGCCCCCCCTCCACAGCGGCTCCTCAGAGTTAGGGCCTCCCCCGCGAGGCAGACTTTGCTGCCCAGAGCCCCCCCCCCCGTCTGCCAGTGGACCCAGCTGGGCTGAGAACATTTGGGGTGCTGGGGAGAGCAAGGGGGGCCCTGTGGACCCAGCCCTGGAGATGATGGGGGGCTGCCGCCTGTCCAGTTCTGTTCCTCCCAGGATATTTTGGTTGCTGTGCTGGACCTCCAGCACTCTCCTCGTGGGGCTGGTTCCCCCTCCTCAAAGGCGTTGGGGGGGGGGAACAGGACAGGAATCCAGAACCCGACCCCCCCCCAAAAAAACCCTGGCCAGCTTCCTTGCTAAGATAGGTGAGGTGGCTGCGTCACCTGCGATTTTCCCACCTTCCAGGAGGCCTTTCCCCTTTCCAGGAGAGCGGGGAGGAGGGGTCTCTGGGGAAAGGCTGCCGGAGGATGGGGGCAGCTGGGGAAACCAGTAGGCTAATGTTAGGGGTAAGCTGTGCCATAAAAGAGTAGGGGGCTGCAAGGAGTTGGCTCTGGAAAGGGATGGAAGATGCCCCCCCCCCCGTTGAATCTGAGCCGACGGTTGGCTCAGGCGGCCTTTGGACCCCTTGAAATGATGCAGGATTCGGGCTCTCCGCTCTCGGTCCCTTCCTGCTCTGCTGCTCTCAAGCCTCCTGCTGCTCCCTCCTCTCTTTCCTTGCAGACGGTGGAGAAAGTCTTCTTCTTCACCCAACTGGCCACCTGCTCGGACCACTTGCCTGTAGGACTGCAACTCCGTGTGTCTTCGGAGGTGGAGCCGGAAGAGTCACCGGGCAGCATCAGCATGGAAGCCCCCACCGCCACCTGCAGCTGGACGGATGAGCCAGGCATGGGGAGCTGTCCGGGGCCCCTCCCTGGAGCTGGAGCGAGAGAGAGCCGAGCCAGGGACGCTGTGACGGCCCAGGGCTGGCAGGGGAGCCCTTCAAAGTTGCAGGTGCTGGAGAGGTCACCGACTCCAGGCTCTGCAGAGGGTGGACGAGAGCTGGTCAGGGGAGACCGTCGGGGCGATTCCGAGTTCTCAGCCCAAGTGCCAGGACCTCTTGACCGGCCTCTCCTCTCGGCCCTCCTTGGAAGGACTGCATGAAAAGAGACCCAAGGTCAGGCTGGGGGGCAGATACGGGGTGGGGAGAGTGGGCGATGGCCCCCGTGGCCCGTTCTGCACCTGGGCGAGGTTGGCTGTTGAAGGGCCGGTGCAGAGTTTGGGCTGGGGAACCGGAACTCATCGGTTCCATATTTTCTTCACAAGCTGCATCCTGAGTTTCAAAGCTATTTACCCAAACATTGCCAGCCTCCCAAGATAAAAATCTGCACCCGCAGATTACACATCCTGCATCAGGCATGTATAGAACTGAATCTTTCAGTTCAACTTGGATTGTTTCCAAGAAATAGAAAGCCTGAAGCCTGAAGCTTTGGAGCAGAGCTGCCCTGGGCTCTTCTTCATCTGTGGCCCCTTCCGGCCGGGTGGGGACCCTTGAGCTCTCGGGGGCCCAAAGCTTCCAAATGTCAGTGGGGGTTGGGGGCGGCCCTCCCCCTCCGTCCCTTGTGTGCAGGAAGGCGCTTCCTGGTGCCGATGACTGTAGGGATCTTTGCTCAACCACTTGAGTAAACATCTGTGTGATTTACTGCTTGGCACAAAAGGCCGGTCTCTTGTGGGAAAGGGTGCAGCTCCCAGGCTAGTGGTGGGGAGGGGGCTTTTTCCACTCTCAGTGCTTAGAAAGCCTGCAGGATTTGATGCAGCCCCCCCCCCTGCCCCCCAGGCGCTCAAGCTAAGTGCAGAAACTCAGAGAGGGGAGATGCAAACTTTCTAGAAGAACGAAAGATCTCTGCCTCCTCCTAGATCTGCAAGGGGTGGGAAGAGTTCCAGAGTTTTCCTCTTTCTTTTGCTTCGCGCTCTGCTCTGCTGGTTTGGGGGGCTTTTTGGAACTCTTGAGCGCTGCCCCCACTTTCTTCCTGCCCGACAGGATCTCTCCCAGGTTGCCTCCCCCCCACTGAAATCCACAGCCCAGGAATTGCAGGAGCCCAATCAAAGCTTGGCTGTTTCTGGGGAGGATCGAGCCCAAACCACCAGGAATCCGAGAGGGGCTGTCGCTCATCAGCTGCACCGCTAGCAGGTCCCCTGCAGCCCCCGGCCTCTGCCCCACCCCCCATGAGCCACCTTCATCTTCTCTGGAACCGCAATCAAAGATGGTTTAAGCATGGGTAGCACTAGCAGGAGCTCCCCCCCCCATCCAGGAAGCATCCCCTTGGCCGTGCTGCAGGGGGGACGGGTGGAGCCCTCCCCTGGGGGACCCGTAAAGGGCCATTCCCAGCAAAGGACCCTGTCCAGGAGCTGAACCAAGTGGGCTGACCCTGCATTCCCAGCCGGAAAAGGGAGGGGGGCCCTGCCTGCTCTCAAGGCCCCGGTCTGCCCTGCAGTCCCTTTGCCCCTGCCGGGCACAGGTTGGCAGAAGAATTATAATTCAGAAAGGGGATCCTGCAGAGGCGCGCAGAGACCGCCCCCCTTCAGCCGGCAGAAACCCTGGCGCAGCACTTTGGCCAGTGGGAGAAACCTCATGAGGGGCCCAAGCCGAATTCTTCTCCCAGCTGGCCCTGCTCCTTCTCCTGAGGTGACCCCAAAGCCCAGCGGGGAAGGGGCTGATCTCTTGGGCCCCCTCCCTTTGCTGCAGGTCCCAACAGCCAAGGCCAGCGTCAGAGGGCAGAAGAGCCGGGGAAACATCCACACAGCGACTCTATGATGAGCAAATTCTTCCCTCTCGAGAAATCTCCAGCATCCTCTGAGGACAAGGCAGTGGCTGGGACAGCAGCGTCTTCAGTGGGCCAGAACACACCCTTGTAGCTGATTGGTTGGAGGGGGGCGCAGGCTTGAGGCAATCTATGCCATGATTGGTTGCTGTGAGAGTAAAGGGGGACACCCCCCCCCCTCTGCTTTTTCTTCTTCTGTGAATTCTCTCCTGTGGTTTCACGGAGCCTTTCCTCCTCTTGATGGAGCCATGTGCCTGACTGTCTTGTCTGCTGCAAATAGAGATATAAACATATTTCTTTATTAAAAAAAAACTACAAGTTTGTATCAGCGTCTCTGACTCCATCTGGGCACCTGCAGCCAAAATGGTAAATCAGGGGTGGCCTGTTGACCCTGGGGAGGCTGGACGTGCGATGGGCTCATCAGCCACAGGGAGCGAGGGGTGGTTCTGTCGGGTTCTGACTCTCTGGGGGCAACCGGACTCTCAGAGGCTGCCTTGGGATGACTACTCTGCAGGCAACGGCCTTCTTCTTCGTGGGACTCCAACATCAGCAAAGGCAGCACAGGGAGAACGTCTTGCTAGTCTGTGCAGCTGCAGAAGGGGCCCCTTTGGAGAGCTGCCGAGGAGGAGGAGGTGGCAGCTGGGCCAGGGGCAGGGCGGCCTTTGCAGCTCTGCCTGCGCCCATTGACTTTGGCACCTGCGAAGCTTGCAAGGGGTGAGCGTCAGGCCCTCCCAGCCAAGCTCCACCATTCCACCAGAAACATCCGGTGCCGGCATTAAACAGCAGTGATTCCAAAGCAGCCAACGGGCACCATACAACATCACAAGGCCAAGGGAAGGGCTGGCAGGGGAGGGACTGGGGGAGCGTCTACGCCCCATGCCTTCTCTCCAGGGTGCGTCCTGCCTCCTTCATCCCAGGAGGGTTCAAGAGAAGCAGGGGCGGGGGGCTCCTCTGAAGAAAAGAGATGCTGGAAAGGCCGCCCCATAGGAGGACACGCCTGGGGATTTCCTACCAGCCTGTTGTTGACACTGTGCAAACACACCCCACCCCCACAAGCGCCTGCCAGGTAGCCTTACGAGAGAGCCCGGCGTGGCCTCCCTTCAAGGGACCGTTAAAGCAGCGGAGGCCCCATTGGGTGGGGGGGGAGTGGGGTGTGTGGGTATAGGGGTGTGTGTGGGGGTCCCGCTTTGGCAAAAGGGAGAAGCTGGAGCCCCCGAGAGAGAGGCGATGCAAGCTCCCTCGAGGGGGGGGCGGCGTTTGCCAGGCTTCTACCCCCTTGGCTTTCCCGGGACCTCCGCCCATTTCTCCACGCCCGGAGCAGGAGAGGGAGCGCTGTTTTCCGGGCATGGGAGCGGGGTTCCGGACGGGGATGTTGCCGGTGATGTCCCACCCGGGGCTGGCCAAAGCGCGCCTCGCTCGCTGGGGGCCAGGGGCGCGGCTTGCTCCTTCTTCAGCAGGATTTGGCCCTGGAAGCCCCGGGACGGTCAGCCGGACGGGGAGGCCGAAGAGCCGCTTCCGCCCCGTGGCCGGCTCGCCAGGAATCCCGTCCGGCCCGGCGGAGACCTCGGGGGCCGCCTCGGCGCTGCTGGGTGGTTGCGAACCCGCTAATTGTGGGTGCCGGGCGGCTTCCTCTGAGTCAAGCGCTTGGGACGCCCCGGGAGCGCCCGACGGAGCCCTCGGCCGACCTCGCCGGTCCCCAGATGGAGGCTGCCGGATTCTTTCGGCCTCCCTGGGGAAATTGCACCCCGTGGCCCAATTATTGTGGGTGTTGTTGTTGCGCTTTTAATCATCACAGAACCACAAAAAGCGGTCACACCTTTGGCGTCTGTTCCCGGAACAGGAATCTCGGCATCGTTCAATTCTGGCCATTTAATGTGGATGCTTTGCGTGTTTTTACTATTGTTGAAATATTTGTAACTGTATTATATTTGAGCAGTCAGTGAAACGGGCACTCATATTGAATAAATAAATAAATACTTAAAGATACACCCAGCAAGATAAAAACCCACAATTGAAGTGACCAAAATATCTGTAAACCTCCCTTCTGTTCTTCAGCCTGATGTGCCAATAATAGCAGGGATGGCTGGCCAAGAGGTGAGATTTGTCCGTTTTCCCCCTTCTTTCTGGCATCTCTTGTCCTTGGGGCACTGACAGTGGATTACAGCAACTCTGCATGTATCCCAGGCATTCTGGATGGTCATCAGTTGCTATGCGTCAAATTTTAACCTAATTATTTTAATGGCTATTTTATGATTATGTAGTTGGGAATCTCAGACATTCCCATTTCCTTTGATGGAAGCCAAAGGATTGAAGTGGCCCTTAGGTGGTTTTCAGAAGGTCTCAGCATTTCCTCAACTGACCTGCAGCTTCATCTTTTTCCCAAAGCCCGCACTCGCGGCCGTGCGAGGCCTGCTGAAACCTTGATTCCCTCCCTCTGGTTCGTAGCTCCCGAGATGCAAAAATTAATCCTGCTTCCTTTTGAGTGGCACCTGTCCATAACTATCCAATTAATTTTATCTTTTACATGCCCTTCTTGGAATAGTTTCAAGAGTTGGGAGGGACATTTGAGATCATCTAGTCCCACCCCGTTCAAGCAGGAGACCCTAGACCATCTTGGACAGCTGATTGTCCAGTCTCTTCTTAAACCCCTCCAGTGATGGAGCTCCCAGAACCTCTGGAGGGAAGCTGTTCCACTGATTGTTCTGTTAGGAAGCTGCTTCTTAGTTCTAGGTTGAATCTTTGATTAGTTTCCATCCATTGCTTCGTTCTGCTTTCAGGTGCTTCGGACAATAGGTTGAGCCCTTCTTCTTTGTGGCAGCCCCCCTTTTCTCTAGACTAGACATGTTTAATCCCAGCAACCGTCCTTCATCTTTCAGCCTCCAGTCCCTTAATAGTTCCTGTTGCTCTTCTCTGCACTCCTTCCAGAGTCTCCACATCGCAAGGACCAAAACTGGATGCAGGATTCCAAGTGTGGCCGTATCATTTTCTTTCCCAACCAATTCCAACACAGCAGGGCCCCTTCTTATGCTAATCCGATCATCACTTTTGGATGCAACACGAAACATCCTCATCAGAGTTCTTACAATTTTCATCACTGATTTTGATATTTTTTATTCATCAAGACAAATCGACAGGAAGATTGGCATCCTTGCCTCAGTCCCTTAAAGAACCACCAAAATTGCATCTTCAGATGATGGTGACTGGGCCGGGGGGGGGGGGGGGGGAGGCCCAGGGGGGAAATGCCTCTCACAGAAGCCTTTTGTACTTGACCAAGTATTGGGTCCTGGGGGGTGGGGGAGGTGCGTGCACAACTGGCGCCCTTGCAGCCACGGCCCCACCTTCCTGAGGGTCATTCCAGGTGTGGCAGAAGAGATCAGCCTGACAGTTGCCCCCTTGCAGAGAAGAGAGCTGCAGGCACCTGCCGGGGGACACAAACCGCTGGCAGGAGCTATGGCACCACCTGGGTACTAATGATGCCCAGATCACCAATGCCACTCTGCACCACGAGAGGCTGCCAACGTCTGGAGATGGCCAGGCTCTGCATGGGATGCCACAGGCCGAAGCAAGCCGCATTCATTGTTGGAGTCATGACCTGCCATCCCTGGACTTGCCCTTCGGTTCCTTCGCCCGCCATGAGCAAAGGCTGTGTGTGTGTGAGACAGCCCAATCTCCACCCGCTTGGACTAAGCGATGCACTCCTGGGCTGCCTCTGGTGGCCTCCCCGGAAGCCACAGCCACTCACGGCGTTGGCACTCCAGCATCATCAGGGCCCCGTGCCCCCGTGGCAAAGCAACCCCGAGGGTGGCCCTCTGCCCCTCCACCTGTCAGAGACACACAGGGAGGGGCTGTTGGGCCAGAACACACGCGGGGGGAGCTCAGGTGTAGGAAGTCCTGGGCTCCAACCTGGGCCTGCCTGGTGGGCAGCAGCCCTGAGCAAAAGAGCTTGGCACACCAGCCGGGTTGTCTGCGGGGACAGAAAGGACTTCAGGGACTCCAAGGAGACTCTAACTTTATTCTTGTGAAGCTGTGCTATGGATCTGCCCACCCCCCTCTGCCAAGGGGAGGCCTGGGTGGCATCCATCCCACCGCACACGCAGGAAGGGGGGGGGCTGCAAGAGAGTGGCATCTGCAGCAGTCGAGAAGAGAGCAAAGTAGCCCCCCCCTCTCTCTGGGCGAGAGGAGTGCAAGCAGAAAAGAGGAGGGAGGGGGGCAAGAGCAGTAGAATCAGCATTTAGCAGAGAATATCTACTCCCACTTCCCAAGGGACGGAAAGGAAGAAAGCTGGTCTCTGCTGCCCCCTTGCGGTGAGAAGTGAAACTTCCCTGCTTCTCCTCCCATCTTTCCATCCTGCTCAGCCAGGGGCCATCCTCTGCCCCCCTCCCCGGCCCCCCTTCCTCAGGGGCTGCTTCAGGGCCCATCCGGCATCTCCTGTGACCGGCTGTAGTAGTAGAAACTGCCCCGTTCCCTGAAGAGCTGGGCCCGGTGCCTGGTCTCCTCAGACTCCTTGGCCAAGCGTTGGGGGGGCCGTCCAAAGCCCCCTCCGCCTGGGCTCTGCAGGCAGAAGACGTCCTGGGACAAGGGAAGAAGAGAGACCCCTCAAGAGGGCGGCTTCCGGGAGAGAGCAGCAGGGCGGGGAGACGCTCAGGGAGCCTCACCCCAGGGTGCACTTCCACGGACATCTTTCCGCCCAGGTTCATGGTCCGTCCGTTGTGCCGGATCAGCAGGTTCAGGCCTGGGGATCCCGGATCGCCCCCTGTCCGAAAGGGCAGAAGGGACCGTCCGGGGGTGAGAGGAGACGCCGGACAAGCCCCATCCAGCCCTGCAGGGCGAACCTTCCCTCTCCTCCCTCCCGGCCACCCCTCTGGGGCCCCAAGCCCACCCTGGCCTCCCCACCAGGTCCAACGGAGGCTGGGTGGAGAACTGGCAGAGACGCTCTGGGGCTGCCCCATTGAGCAGGGAAGCACCCGCCACGTCCCTTCCCACCCTGTGATTTTGTACGTTCAGCCCACCGCTGAGAGAGGGGCAGAACAAGAGCCCCACCGGCAGACACGCCGGGACCTCCCAGGTCAGCCCAGGAGCCCCAGAAGCCCCCACCTTGCAGCCCATAGGGCTGGAAAGCCCGGCGCTCGCTCAGCACGGACACAACCATCTCCTCCCGGAACTGCAGCTCTCGCCGGACCCCGGACCCTCCCCGGAACAGCCCAGCCCCCCCTGTGTCTGGCGCCAGCTGGAAGGTTTGCAGGACCACTGGATACCTGGGGGAGGAGGAAGAGAGCCAAACTCCTGCTGCACAGGAGGGTATGGACAGCCAACACACACACACACACACACAAACACACCAGCTGCCTGCCTTGGGGTGAGAACTCGGAGTGGGGGGGGGGGGAGACGGCAGAGGTCTTGGAAAAGGAGCACCCGGAGTGAGCCGGCTTGCCAGGGCAGACACCCCACCCCACACCTGCCGGTCATCCCCACCTTCCTTCAATCCCTGTGGGAGGAGGAGGCTCATTGCCCAGGACAGATGCCAACAGCGCCCCCTTCAGGTTCCGTCTGCACCCACCGTTTCTCCAGGATCTCTGGATCAGTGATGCGGGTGTTGGTCATGTGGGTGTGCACCCCACTGCGGCCATGCCAGTCAGGCCCCGCCCCGGCCCCTCCAGCCACCGTCTCGTAGTAGCTGATGTCCTTGTTCCCAAACGTGACGTTGTTCATGCAGCCCTGGGGGACGGGGAAGGGGATGGAATGGGGGCTCTCTGGCCAGCTGCAGAAGCCCTCCCCCACCGCAGGGCAGAGAGGAAAGGCCCCACTTTGGGGGAAGGAGACTCCCGGTCTCGGAGATGGTGGAAACGCTCCCGGGAGTCTCCCCAGGTGGCACAGGGACAAGGCGGGGCCTCTGGACTTCCCCGCTCTCAGCCACTTGTCAGATTCACAGAACCAAAGAGCTTCCTGGCCCAGCTGGCATCTGCACGAGGCCGCCAATGCCCTGGTGGAGAAGCTGCGTGACCCCAAACCAAGTGTGAGACCCCAACCTGGCCTTTCTGCACTCCCCTCACCTGTGAGGCGGCACAGACTTCAAACGCCCGGAAGATAACATCCACCACCCTCTGGGAGGTCAGCACGTTGCCCCCCACCACGCCAGCATCCAGGGAGGGGTGAAGGATAGAGCTCTCGGGGATCACGATGCGCACGGGGGACAGGCAGCCCTACGAGGAAGTAGCAGGGGACACTTCAGGCCCTCCTGATCCAGACAGTCCCCAGCCCAACTTCTGCTCGACAGCCCCCCACCCACCAGCTCTGTTGAGGATGAGGGTTAGCCCCCTCCCTCTGCACCTGGTTGAGGGGGATGTCCTCGCCCACCATGCAGCGCAAGCAGTAGATCAGGGCGGAGAGGGTGATGGCACGGGGGGCATTCCAGTTCCCATACACCTCCTGGCCGGTCCCTGTGAAGTCAAACAGTGCAGTGCCCTGGGGGAAAGGGGGGGGGGCAGAGGTTCCATTAGCCCTCCCCCATCCAAGTTCACTGCTGCTCTCAATCCTTCTCAGATTGGCTCCCCCCCCCCGGGGGGGCTCATGCAGCAAAGAAGGCAGCTACAACCACTGTGTGACCTGACAATTGCGCGATAGACATATGCGCGCCGACAAAATAGCACCGATTAAAACGCGACGTCAAAATCGTGACGACAAAAGCGCAACGATAAAAGCGCGATGACAAGCACAATAAAATAAAATAAAAGTTAGGGTTAGGGTTAGGGTTATAACGTACGTATACGTGTCCCACTATGTGGTTTGTTGATGACGCGATTTTGTCGGCACGCATTTGTCGGCGCATTTTTGTCAAAAATCAATCAGCGGTTTTAGCAGCGCGCATATGTCAGTTGCAGTTTTGTCAGCACGCATTTGTCCGTCACGGTTTTGTTGGTGAACCTAACCACTGCTAGCGCTGTTGCCTGTGTCCCCCCACAACACACCCCAAGGAAGAATCCCTGCTCAGCTCCTTCCCACTCCTGCACTGACTAGCTCAGAGCTCCCCAACCTTTCCATCTTTGCGGACTTACACAGGGGAGGGGGGCATGGCGGGAGGGAGGAGATCTTTCTGCATGAAGAGTGGACCAAAATACCTGCCACTCACACATGTGCTCCCCCTCTGCTCCTGCCAATAGGGATGTGCGCTGGCCCACCAGTTATGCGGCCCGGTTCCAAACGGCTCAAGGCCTGGCAGTGGACCGCTGCCCGAGGGTCGGGGACCCAGGAGCAGGAACCACGAAGACCCCTCCCAGCCCCAGGATTCCGTGACATGCTCACCTCCTTTGGATCCACGGCCACCCGGAGACAAATGGGGCTGCCGTCGTCCATGAAGTCCTTGGCCTCCACCTGCAGCAGTTGGTCCACGTGTCCACGGCGTGTGGCAAACTTCCTCAGCATTGTTCGGACGGCGATCTCCGCATTGGCCTAAGGGCACAGCCAGGGAAGAGCCGAGACCGCAGGGACTCTTGGATGGCAGAATCCTCCCCATCCCGCCAGGGAGAGCACCCCAGGTGGGCTCCACACCGCTGCCCCCACCCTCGGGGGCCCAGAAGTCTTCAGGGGAAGCAGCCCGAACTGCCCTCTCCAGTGTGGAATAGTCCAGTCCTGGGAGCCTCTGGTGCTGAATGCGGGAGGCCTGTTTGCACCGGGGCCCGTTAAGCAGAGGGGCGTCCCCTCCCCTTCCAGAAAGTGACCCCAACCACAGCAGATGAGCCCACCATAAGCATTGGAGGGGGGGGGGTCCCCAACTCCCTCTTGACCCTCCTCTGGGCGTGTAACGGGGGTCTTTGAATACCTCCAAGCAGGGGGCGAGTCCTGGAGTCGAACCAGGAGGGGCGAGACCCTTCCTCACCTGAATGTGGCCCATGTACGCCTGAACTACGCCCAACCCATACTGCTCAATCAGCTCCTCCACCAACTGGATCCCCCTCTGATTGGCGGCCACCTGGGCGCGCAGGTCGGACAGGTTGTCCTGGAGGCTGCGGGTGCCGCTGCTGCCGGGCTGTTGCCCAGGGGCCACGAGGGCTGCGGTGACGGCTGCAAGGGAAGCAGCTCCACGGTGGCATTTGGAGCGGGGGGCACAGCCCCCCCCCACCTGGAGAACCAGAGCCCCCTCCCCTCCCCAGAGACCCACCTTCCTCTTGGAAGACGCCCTCCTTCACCAGCTTGAAGGAGATGAAGATGGCCCCCTCCTCCTGGAGGCAGTGGGAGTGGGGGGGCATGGAGCCCGGGGTGATCCCCCCAATGTCGGCATGGTGACCCCGGCTGGCCACAAAGAAGATGGGCCTGGGCTCCTCCTCCCAGAAGACCTGCAACAAGCAGCAGCCGCTCCACAAGCGGGCAGGGAAACAGCCAGGGGGGCTGCATGCCAGGTGCAAGTCCCCCCTGCCTCCACACACACACCCCCCAACTCTCCTCTCCGGGAGAATCCCAGGGCCCACCTCAGGGAACGCTCTGTGGGGGACGGGGGACTCACGGGGGTGATGACCGTCAGGTCGGGCAGGTGGCTGCCCCCAGCGCAGGGGTGATTGCTCAGGATCACGTCCCCCTTGTGAAGGTCGGGGCCCAGGTGCTGGATCTGCAGCGGGTGAAGCGAAAATGGGGGGTGGGAGAGAAGCCTCCCTTGCAGCTGCGGGCCCCCATGGAGGTCAGCCCCTCACCCTGCAGAAAGTTCCCCCCACCCCACCCAGAGGCGGCTCTCTGGTGGTGCCTACCTGGAATTGCACCGTCTCCTGCATGGCTCCCAGGTGGACGGGGATGTGGGGGGCATTGGAGACCAGCCCCCCGTCCGGCCCAAAGAGGGCGCAGGAGAAGTCCAGGCGCTCCTTGATGTTGGTGGAGATGGCCGTGCGCTGCAGGACTCTGCCCATCTGCTCTGCTCGGGAAAAGCAGGGGCTGTTGTCTAGGGGCCCCGGGGCCCATCCTGCCCCTGGGGGAGGGGGGAGCGCTCACCTGCAATGCTCATGAAGCGGTGGGAGAAGATGGACAGCTGGACAGGGTCAAGCTCAGGCCCAATTGGACGGAAAGACCCCGAGCCCACCGCGATGCAGACGTCCCCCAGGGCCGTCAGGGAGGCTGTGCAGCCGGGCTCCACCAGGATGGTGCTGCAGGGACATCAAGGGGCCCTTCAGGGGCTTCCCCTGGGTCACACAGCCCCCTCGCCCGCATCTGCCCTGGACCGCCAGCAGTGGGCAGAGAGCGTCACCCGAGGACCCCGGAAGCCACAGCTGGCCCTTTATTTCCTCCCCGCCTCCGTAACTGCTTTTCTGCTCTAAGCCTAACCCCGTGCCCCCCCCAAGGCCCCCCCCTCACCTGTTCTTGTCCACCAGGATGCTGGGGCCAGGGATGGAGTGGCCGTGGAAGAGGTTCTCCAGCAGGTAAACGGGGGTGTCCTGGTAGCCCCCCTCAAAGTAACAGCGGGTGACCTGTAGGTGGGGAGGGGCTCATCACACAGAAGCCCCCCCGGCTGGCCCAGCTCTTGGCTGCTTTTGCCCAACACCGAGCTCACCCTGCAGCCTTCCCCTTGCCACCGTACCCGACTGGCATCATTCGGAAGCTTCTCTCCCAAACTGCCCCTCCCCCCCCGGGCCAGAATTTCTGGGAAGGGGGGGAACGAAGGAGAGCCCCCCTCCGGGCAGCTCCAAAGGCCGAGGAGCCCTGGGCTTTGTTCCCTGGGTAGAACAGGGCAGGGGGTGCAGTCTCCAAGGAAGGGACCGGCAAGGGGCTTGATATCCATAGCAGAAAGCAAAAAGGCTAAAGGAACTTTGGGGCTGGGCTGGCAGGGAGGGAGGGAGGGAGGGAGGGAGGGGGCTTCTCAGACACCCCCCCCCAAAAAAGGCTCGAGTCTCCTCTGCATGAAAGGGGCCCAGACAGGAGGACCAAGGGGGGGCCCCCCAGAGAGGATCTGGGTTGGGGCCCTGAACTCTCTCGGCCGAAGTCCCAGGTGTGGCTCAGAGCCCCCGTCTTCATCGCTGTGGACGATGGGCCTCTGCCAGAGGACTGAGAAGAACCAACGCTGTGGGGGTGGGGGGGAAGACCTGATGCCAGGACAGGACAAAAGACTCTTTCAGCCTTTGGAGGGCAGGAGCCAAGAGGGAGCTGCCAGGAAATGCCCTCCCCCCCCCCTCATTACTCAACGCGTTTTAAAGGGAACAAGGTCCACCTCCTTGCCCCAGAGAAAGTCTCCCTTAACCCCCCCCCCCCCGGCAGCTTCTTCTCAGCCACTCCAGGCAGGCGAGAGAAGAGCACCCACCTCTGCCCTGATGAGGGCTGGCAGCACCTGGCAAAGGCTCGAAGCACGTGGGGGCTGACAGGAGCTGTGCCTGGAGCTGCTCAGCTTTTCCCGGGGGGGGGGGAGGGGGTTGAGCTGGGGGAACGTGCCCTTGCCACCCTTCCAAAGCCACCTGGCGCAGCACAACAACCCCCCCCCCCCCACGCGCAGAAGGGCACTGAGGAGCTCCTGCCAGGTCCAGGGTGGCAGGAAAGCAGCAAAGGCAAAGCCGGAAGATTGAGGAAGGGCACAAAGCCCCAGAGGACCCTTGGGGGAGGGAGGGGGGTTTCTGGTGATGCAGGGAGGGGGAGGGGAGGGAGGCAGAAACCAGCAAAGCCAACTCCAAGAGCGGGAAACATCCCACCGTTCTTTGCCTTGTGGGGAAACCCCCAGGGCTCACACAGTGGAAACGGCAATAGGACCAGGAGAGGGAAGAGGCGGGGGGGGGGGAGGGGGGATTGTCTCTGGGAGACCCCTGAAGGAGCGCTGCTGCCCCTCCCATCTGGGATTCTGGAGTGGGGAGGCAGGAGAGGGGCAGGCCCACCGACGGCTGCATTCACACAGCAGCCCCCTTTGCTCGGGTGGCCTTTAACCTTTGTCCCTTCAAACGGTTTGGGGTCAGGAGACCCTCCCTGGTTGGTTTGTGCCAGCATTGTGCCGGTTGGGAATGAAACCCTGGAAGCAGCTGGAACCACGTTGGGCCGATGCCAGTCCCAGCGGTGGCTTCCCAACCGGGTGCCTTGCGGGAAGGGCCCTGGGAGGACTGCGAGGGCCCAGGGGGCCAAAGCTGAAAGGCACCTGCGGTTCCGGTAGGGAGGCCCAGCCTGGAGCCAAGGGGGGAGTCGTACCATTTCCAGGTTGGGGGGCTCTTTGCAGACCGGCTGAGGCTCTTCCTGGCCCATCCCACAGCAGGCCATGCCCCTCACCCGCACGTCGTCCACCAGGATGGCTCGCTTGGGGATGGTGAAGCCGAATTCCTGCCGATACCTGGGCGAGAGGGCAGGGTCAGCATCAAGACCTCTCCTGGCTCCCCAGAGGGAGGGGCCCCGCAAGCCCTTTTCCAGGGTTGGGGGGGTGTGGTGGTTATGCCACTGACCTATTGGCAAAGGCTGCACCAAAGTCTCCGCGGCTGCAGGTGCCGGCGAAGGCCGGGTAGCCCTTGGCCGAGCACATGAGGGCGCAGTCAGTCCGCTGGTAGCGTAGGTGCAAGAAGGCCTCGGTGGTGATCTGGGACCTGCAGGCAGAGGGGGGGAGGGGGGCTTGACCTCTTTCACCCTGGATGCCAAAGCCGCCCCCTCCCGGCCCCTGGGGACCCACCTGGTAAAGCCCTGGGCCTCCAAGGCCTGCACACAGGCCTCCTCCAGGGCAGCCATCCGCAGGTCCAGCTGGGCGAAGGAGGCTGGCTCGTAGACCAGCGAGCAGGGCTCCTGCGTCTCGTGGACGATGTCTGCCAGGGCCATCCCGTAGGCCGACAGGACCCCACTATGCCTGTGGGGAGGAAGGGGAGACCCTGCAGAGTGGCAGGCAAAAGCCCCTCCCTTCTTTCGACCTGGGAGGGCAAAGCTGACCAAGGCCACGGGCTCCCCTTCCCTGGGACAGGGACACCGGTGTGCCCCCTGCGTGCGGTGGCAGAGGAAGAGGCCTGCTTGGCAAATGCACCACTGGCACCACCCCTTCCAGGACGGCCTCCTCCCTCACCAGGAACCTACTTGTGGATGAAGACCGAGCTCATGCCCAGTGCCCGGGCGATGGCACAGGCATGCTGGCCCCCGGCCCCTCCGAAGCAGGCCAGGACGTGGCGAGAGGTGTCGTGGCCCCGGGCCTAACGAGAGGGAGGAACAGCACAGTTGGGGGCAGGCCCCGCTCTGGGGTGGAGGGATGGGAGGGCAGGTCCAGGCTCAGCTGCCCCCGGGGCCCCCTTGTGTTCCGCTTTCCGGGCCAGCTCAGAGTAGCCGTTTCTTCACAGCGCTCTTCGAGCCCTTCCAGGGCGGAGTGCCGCTGCTCAACGGGGCCTCCACCTGCAGCCCCCTGCGCCCCGGTCCGAGGGGCCCCGTGGAGTCCAGCAGGGCCCTTTCTGGGGAGTGAGGAGGGGGCCGAGGAGGAGTCGGTACCTGCGTCAGGGCCCGGATGGGCCTGCACATGGCTTCGTTGGCCACCTGGATGAAGCCCATGGCCACCTCCTCAACGCTGAGGTCAGGCCAGGCTTCCCCAGAGGCCTTCACCTCAGCCGTCAGGGCTCGGAAGGCCTGCAGGGAGGCCCCATGCGACAGCGGCTGCTTCTCGTCAGGCCCAAAGATGTGAGGAAACTGGCTGGGCAGGAGGCGGCCCAGGCACAGGTTGGCGTCCGTCACGGTCAGCGGCCCCCCTGCCACAAAAAAAGAAGGGTGCCACCAATGACCTGCTGCCCAACCCCCTCACCCAGAATGACGCAATGCAGCTCCCTCACCCTTCCGGTAGCAGGCGGGGCCGGGGAAGGCGCCTGCGGACTCGGGGCCCACGACGAACAGCCCGGACCTGTCGGGGAAAAGTGGAGAGGGGGGAATTCAGGATGGCATCCAACAGCCTCCCCCTCCCCAAACTTAGAGGCCTTGAAGGGGAAGGGGCCAAAAGGTGGCTGGGACCCCTTTCCTGCTCGCAGGGCCAGAGGCTGCTCTTCATCCGTCCCCACTCAAAGGAGGACGAATCATCGGCAGCCTTCCTGCGGCCTCGAGGCAGGACGCTCACCTGAAGAAGAGGCGGGAGCCGCCCCCGGCAGCCACCGTGTTGATGTCCAACTGCGGCACCTGGATGCTGATGCCAGCAATGGTGGCCTCAAAGATATGTTCGTACTCTCCGGCATAGCGGCTCACGTCGGTGGAGGTGCCTGCAAGAGGATGTGGTGAGTCCTTCTCCCCCACCCTGCTACGGACAGGCCACGGAGCCCCTCCGCTCCCACCACTCACCGCCCATGTCGAACCCGATGACCGGATGCCCTTCCGCACGGTGGTAACTGGTGACCGCATAGCCCACGACTCCCCCAGCAGGGCCTGAGAGGATGGCCCGAGAGCCGCTGAAAGCCTCCATCGGAGTCAGGCCACCGTCCGAACGCATGAATGCAACCGGCACGCTCTGCGGGGAGGGAGAGCGGGAGGCGGCAAGGCCGGAGGGACCGAGGAGGGAATTTGGGGCAGGTGCCTTCGCCATCCCTTCAAAAGCCCTTTGGGGTCCAGTGTCCTGAGAGCCTACGGCCCCCGGAAAAACTCCCTGAGCCCCAAGGGAACATCTCCCCCTCCGCCCCCCTCTGCTTTGAATGCCGGTGGACCCTCCCTGCCCCGTCAGGGCAAGTGGGGCCCTTCTTTCCCCGGGACTGAGGGGAGGTGCCCAAGTCTGACCCAAGGAGCGCCAAGTGTGCCGGAGGGACAGCCAGAGGGACTTCTCACCCGCCTGGCTGCTAGGGTGGAGGCCAGAGAGCAGCCCAATTACTGCACACTTGGAGCACCACTCACAACTCAGGCCTGTGTGTGACGCTTCCCGTGCAACGCTTCACAAAGCTCAAACGAGGCCCCGTCTGCCTTAGCGCACCCACCTGGGTTGCGGCAAACGACTGCAGGGGAGCGAGGGGAGCCCTGGAGGCCGGTTCAAGCCAATGCCCCCTCCCCCCCTTCTCACCTGCAGCTGCGAAGCAAAGCCGTCCCGGAAGCTCTGCAGGTAGCGGAGGATGCAGGGGGTCAGGTAGGCGTCTATGCAGGCGGTGTAGCCACGGGGCACCATGCGCACCATGGGCATCACCTCGGATGACAGCGAGACCTGCCGGAAGCCCAGCTCCCGGGCCAGGGCGCCCACCTGCTGCTCATGGTCAGGCCACCTGTCAGAGATACCCAAGGCTGACCCCCGCAGGCCTCCGATGACCAGGTGCCGCTCTGGGCCAGCTGGCATGGGCCGCGTGGGGAAAGATGCCCCCTTGCCGGGTGGTGTGCTCAGGGCTCAGCCCCAGCCACGGAAGGGAGATCTGGACTCTCCCGGCCCCTCCACTCCGGCCACCACCAGCCTTTCCACCCATAAACCAGCGGCCAGCAGGAGACTCTCAAAGCCGCCCAAAGTCACCTCCCGCCTAGCTTGTGCCAACCTCTTCGATGCCCAGCTGCTAAATGCAGCCCTTGGCACCCAGAGGTTGCCTCTCCCAGCTGCCTTCTCTCTCAACTGCCAGCAGCCCAGATGAGCAGCCCAGTTTCTACGCCTGCCTGCCATGGCACCAAGGGGGCTCCTTCCATGCCCGTGGGTCGCCCTGCTGGGGGCTGCCCTGCGGGGTCAAGGCGCCCCTCCCCAGGCACGGAACTCACAGGTAGGAGTGCAGCAGGACCACGGCCAGACTGTGGATGCCCCGTGCCAGCAGCGCCTCCAGCTCCACTCGCAGGGCAAGGAGGTTCACAGGCTGCTTCACCACCAGCGCCTCTCCGGTCACGCCTGGGGGGAGAAGGGCCCACATCTGCCCTCCAGAGGCTGCGTCCAGCTCTTCCCCACCGCAACCCCCGCCCCCCCTTGCCCAAGTGCTTGGCTGCCACCCGCACCTGTCACCCGCTGCCCGGAACCAAAGAGTGGGCAGCCGTCGCGATGGAGCACCAGGCGCTCGTCCACCTCGACCACCGTCTCGTACAGGACCTCTGGCATTCGGACCTCCTGGGGCAGAGAGGACAGGAGGCCCGTGGGGAGAGCGGGCTTCAGGGCTGGGTCTGTGCGCTTGCGGGCAGCAGACAGGAAAAGCAGGAAAGACCCCGTGCCAGGAGAAGGGCCATGCTGGGTCTCCAGCTTCAGTGCCCCCCTTGTGAGTGCCTTACTGGGGCAACTGAGAGGCCACACCCGTTGGGGCACAGATGGGCCAAAGGAGGGCCAAGCACATCTGGGGTGGCCTTGGTGTCTGCAGCTGTTCAGCCGCAGCCGCTATCTGGGTCCAGAAAGAGGAGCTCTCTCTGGGGGCCCCAACTCTTAGCAAGCGGGGTGGCAGAGACAGACAAGCCAGCCAAGGAACGAGGGGGTCTCAGAACAGGAGGGGGCCCCAAGGCTGTGCGGCCTGGGGGACCAGGGAGGAGGGGGCAGGAAGGAGGAGGAGCCACTCTCAGTCTCAGTCAGCCCCCCTCCCACCCCTGCCCCATTGGCCCAGGAGGCCCCAGGAGAGTGCAGAAGTGTTGGGGTGGGAGCAAAGCTGCTCATGCCCCCCCACCCCCTAGGCACACTGGAAGGGGGGGCTTCCAGCCAACCAATTCCCCCCACTGACTTGGGTACCAATCCTGCCAATCCCAGGTGCAGCCTAGCACCCACCCTCCCTGCTGCTGGGGGAAGGTGGCACCAGCTGGCACGGAGATCAGCCCTCCCAGGGAAGACACAGCAGAGTCGGGAAGGGGGGTTGGGGGCACATGTGTGTGTGTGTTTGTGTGTGCATAAATCTGAAGCTCAGCGCACTGACCAGGTCAAAAATGCTGGGCCGCGCCTGGTTGCCGATGTAGAGCAGGTCCCGGAAGCCCTTGGTGACCAGCAGGGCAAATCGCTCGCCCTTCCGCTCCAGGAGGGCATTGGTGGCCACCGTGGTGCCCATCCGGATCCACTCGATGCAGGAGGTGTCAAGCGGCTGGTCTTTGGGGAAGGGGACCCCGCACTCCTGCTGAAGGGAAGGGTGGACCTGGCAGGCGGCTTCCCCCAGAGCCTCCCCTCCCCGCAACCTCCCCCCCCCCAGTCCAGAAATGGGGCAGGCACAGCGCCAGGGATCGGGGCCTCAATGGGTTGGGGGATAACAGAAGGGAGGGGTCGTCCTTGGCCTTCCCCCGCAGGTCTGCTGCACAGCCACACGGGGGAGCCCGTGGCAGACCCTCGCCCACTACTGCAGGGAAGCGCCGACGGCTGCTGCGAGGCGACGGGTCCGGGCACGTCTGCAAAGGCGGCGGCGGCGGCGGCAGGGACGGGGAGAGCGGCCGCTCTGACCTCTTGCAGGATGCGGCGGATGCCCTCGGTGGGCGCGTCGCGGTAGTTGGCCGGGTCTTCGGAGAGCAGCTTCATCACGCGGATCTTGCCGTCGGGGCAGCGGGCGAAGAGGTCGGTGAAGGTGCCGCCGCGGTCGATGGCGAACTGGAACTTGCCCGGCAGCGGAGCAGCCATGGCGAAGGAGGCAAGCGGGACGGAAGGCAGAGCGGACGGGCGACTTTCGCAGCGGAGGCGGCGCGCCGTTCCCCCAACGACTTCTCGGCGGCGGCGGCGGGGCGGGCGGGGCGCTGCTGCGCGCGCGGGGAGGCGAGGGGGCGGCGCCTTCGGGGCCCCTCCCGTCGGGGCGCGGGGCAGGCCGGGAAGCGGGCGGCCATGGCGGGGTTGGAGCTGCTGTCGGAGCAGGGCTACCGCGTGGACGGGCGGCGCGCCGGCGAGCTCCGCCAGATCCGCGCCCGCATGGGGGTCTTCGCGCAGGCCGACGGCTCCGCCTACCTGGAGCAGGGCAACACCAAGGCGCTGGCCGTCGTCTACGGGCCCCACGAGGTAGGGGCTGCGGGGCTGGGGCCGCCGGGCCGGCTGGGGGGCAGCCGAAGAGGGCGCTAAGCCGGTCCGCTGCCTCCCTGCGCCTGTCTCCCCCGCAGATGCGCGGCTCCCGGAGCAAGGCGCTGCCGGACCAGGCGCTGGTCAACTGCCAGTTCAGCATGGCCACCTTCAGCACGGGCGAGCGCAAGCGGCGGCCCCACGGCGACCGCAAGTCCAGCGAGATGACGCTGCACCTGAAGCAGACCTTCGAGGCCGCCATCCTCACGCGCCTCTTCCCGCGCTCCCAGATCGACATCTACGTGCAGGTGAGGCCACGGGGGCGGCCGGCCGGCCGGCGGGCGGGCCGGCGAGCACGGGGCGCTGACCGCCGCTGGGCCGCCTTCAGATCTTGCAGGCGGACGGCGGCAACTACTGCGCCTCGGTCAACGCCGCCACCCTGGCCGTGATCGACGCCGGGATCCCGCTGCGGGATTACGTCTGCGCCAGTTCGGCGGGCTTCGTGGAGGAGAGCGCGCTGGCCGACCTGAACTACGTGGAGGAGGCGGCCGGGGGGCCGCAGGTGGCGCTGGCGCTGCTGCCCAAGGCCGGCCAGATCGCCCTGCTGGAGATGAACGGCCGGCTGCACGAGGACCACCTGGAGCGCATCGCCGAGGCCGCCCGCAAGGCCTGCCTGGACGTCCACGCCGTGCTCGACCAGGTGGTGCGCGAGCACCTGCGCCAAGGGGCCGCCCTGGCCGGGACCTGAGGGGCCGCCCTGGGCTGCTCGGGAGGCCCCGCCGCCGCCCCTCGGACTGCTCCTCTGTACCCCCCCCACCCCTCAAATAAACGTCTCCAACCAACAGGCGCCTCCTGGAGTCTCTTGCGAAGCCGGGCGGGCAAGAGGGATTCGGGCCGACGGGCATCCACGCGCGGCCTTCCGGGAGAGCTGCCTCCGCTGCAGGCGGCCCTTTCTCGGGGGCTCCCGGGGCAACGCCGGGTCTGCAGCCGAGAAGTCCGGGGGAGACGCCGGTTGGGGGCTGCGAGGCTCCTCCTCTGCGCCGGGCGGAGCGTGCGCGTCTTCCGGGGCGGCGCTTCCTCTCCGCCGCCGCCGCTGCATCTGCCGGCTGCCCGGGCGCCATGGGGCTGCTGTCGGACCCGCACTGGCGCCGCGCGCTCTCCCGGCTGCTGCTCCGCCTGCACGCGCCGCTCTGGTGGGGACGGGGACGGGGCGGGGGGTGGGTGTCCCTCCAGCCGCCCCTCGCCCGCCCGCCCGCCTGAGCCGCTCTCCCTCCCCCCCTCCTCTCGCCCGCAGCGCGCTGAGCTTCGTGGCCGGGCTGGGCTGGTTCCTGGGCCTGGCCTTCCAGCCGCTGGCGCTGCGCGCCGCCATGTCGGAGAACGCCATGGGCTCCACCATGGTGGAGGAGCGCTTCGCCCGCGGGGACCGCGCCCTGGCCCTCGCCCGGGACTTCGCCGCCCAGCGCAAGAAGGCCGGCGGGTGAGTCGCGGGGAGGGGCGGGGCGGGGGGCGGGCGGGCTCGGGGGGCTTGGCGGCCCATGCGCCCCTCTCCCCGCAGGGCGCTGCCGGTGGCCTGGCTGGAGAAGAGCCTGCGGGCGCTGGGGCTGGAGGTGTACGCGCAGAGCTTCTCCCGGACGCTGCCCTTCCCGGACGAGGCGCGCGAGAGATACGTACGGCCGGGGGCGGCGGGGGGCGGCGGTGGGAGGGGGCGGCGGCGGCCACGGGCCTCCCATCCTCTTCTCTCCACGCGCAGGCCGTGAAAGGGACCAACGTCTACGGGATCCTCCGCGCCCCGCGCGCAGCCAGCACCGAGTCGCTGGTGCTGAGCGTGCCCTGCAGCGACGGGCAGCCGCGGAACAGCCAGGCGGTGGGGCTCATGCTGGCCCTGGCGGCGCATTTCCGCGGTGAGTCGGGGGGGGGCAGTCGCGGGGGTGGGGTGGGGGGAGGAGAGCCGGTGCTGAGCTTCCCCTCCCTCCCTCCCTCCCTCCCTCCCAGGCCAGGTCTACTGGGCCAAGGACATCATCTTCCTGGTCAACGAACACGACCTGATCGGCATGGAGGCCTGGCTGGAGGCTTACCACGACGTCAACGTCACTGGTAGGGGTCCGCTGGGTGCTGCCCCCCTTTGCCCCAGACTTCCAGGCCTTTCCTTTCCCGGCACTCGCTCCCCCACGTGGGGTACAGCCTGTCTGGCTGCTAGCAAAGGCTCCCCTTGAAACCAGCAGGACTCCCGGTCCTTTCAGTAAAGGCGAGCTGGCCTTGTGCTCCTCGGCCCCTTCGGAAGTCCCTGGCTCCTGGCGGAGGCTCCCGGGGTCTCTGAATCTAGCCACTAGGGAACCTTACCGTCCGGCTGGTCTGAGCAAGGCGCCCAGGCAAGCACTGTGTCCTCTGCAGAGACCCATTCCTCGGGGACGTTTGGGCGAGCGGGGGCCATCCAGGCCGCCATCTCTCTGGAGCTGAGCAGTGACGTCATCACCAGCTTCGACGTGGCCGTGGAGGGGCTGAACGGGCAGCTGCCCAACCTGGACCTGGTCAACCTCTTCTACTCCTTCTGCCAGAAGAACGGGCTGCTGTGCACCATCCAAGGCAAGGTACGCGGGGGGGGGGGAGTCCTGGAGCCTTCAGCTCCCCCAGGCCGGAGAGAGCAGGCAGGTGGGCAGGCGGAGACAGGGTCTCTCCGTGGTGGTGCCCCTCTCTTCTGCCGAGCTCTCGGGGGGGGCACCGGAAGGCAGGACCTGCCCTGCTGAAAGCCTTCTCTGCCTGCCCCCCCCCCCCCCCCCCCCGCAGCTGCAGCGCTCGGACTGGGACTCCCTGCCGGCCTACCTGCACTCCCTCCAGACGCTGCTGCTGATGGTGCTGAAGCAGGGCTCCGGCCACCCCCAGGGGGACCACGGCCTCTTCCTCCGCTACCACATCGAGGCCATCACCATCCGAGGCATCAACAGCTTCCGCCAATACAAGTTTGACATGGGCGTGATGGGCGTGTGAGTGTCGGAGCAGGCGGAGGTCCGGGCAGGGGCCGCCGGGAGCCCCCCGGGGACGGGAAGCCGCAAGCCCCTCTTTGCTCTTCCCCCAGGACCTTTGAGGGAATCTTCCGGAAGCTGAACAACCTGCTGGAGCGGCTGCACCAGTCCTACTTCTTCTACCTGCTCCCTTCGCTCTCCCGCTTCGTCTCCATCGGGCTCTACATGCCGGCCTTCGGCTTCCTCATCCTCATCCTCGTCCTCAAGATATCCTCCCACAGTGGAGGCCCCCAGCCAGGAAAGCGGGTGGCCCTGCTCCCCAGGAAGGGGCTGCGAAACCTACGTCAGCCTTCCTGGAGGTACACTTTGGGGGTGGGGGATTTCTGGGGTGGGGCTCCTGCTTGAAAGTGGGGCGCTGAAGAGCCATGTGGGGATCCCACCTGAGTCCTTTGGGGACACTGCAGGAACCTGGGCGGTGGGAGAGGGGGGGCCCAGTCTCTGCCCATCCAGTGGGGGGGGGCTGGCGTGAGGGGTTGGGGGCCGCCTCTGGTCCAGAGGGTGCAGGGAGGAACCCTCTTCTCCAAAACGCCGGCGGGGGCAGCCCGGGTGTTGGGGTTTGGGGCCTGCCTGTGTCACACCTGTTTTCCTGGACTCCTCCCTCCCTCAACGCCCTGGACTTGTGGGTGAAGCTAAGCAGCTTTGACAGTGACAGGAGCCAACTCTGCGATGGAGACCAAGCTTCGAGTCCTGCTCCTGTGGAGGTGGGTTGTGACAGGAATCGGCAGCCCTTGAGAAGGGGGGCCGTTGTGTTTGTCGGGCAGAGGAGTTGCCCCGTGGGCTCGGTCTGCTGTCACCCTCTCCAGCCAGCTCCGGCTCAGCCGTCCTTCGCTTTGGGGGTGGAGCGAGGCCCCCCCCCCCTAAGCTCCTGCCCTCCTCTCTCGGGACAGGACCAGAGACCCAGCGTGCTGACCCTGATCCCCCCGCTGCTCATCTGCCATGCCACAGGCCTGGCGCTGTACTTTATGCCCGTCTGGGGGCAGAAGGTGGCCACCGAACACTTCCCGGTCTCTGAGTCGGAGGCTGTGGTGCTCACCAGCATCGGCATCTACGTGGCCGGGCTGGCCTTGCCCCACAACACACACAGGTAACAGTGGGGTGGGGGCCTGGCCTTCTGCGAGGGGCTGCCCCGGGGCTGAGCAGGAAGACGAGGCGCTGGGGGATTCCGGCCGGACCAACCGGGCTTCTTCCTGCCTTGCAGGGTCTTGATGGGCTCGGGGAGCAACCAGGGCTGGATGATGCTGAAGCTGTTTGCGCTGCTCTACCTGGCCATGCAGCTCAGCTGCGTCGCCCTCATCAACTTCTCCCTGGGGTTCCTGCTGACGGTCACCATGGCGCCCGTGGTGGCGATTGTGCAGCCCACAGGGCCCAGGTAGGTCCCACGGCAGAGAGGGCGATCCTGCAGGGCCTCTGAAGCAGCAGTTGGGGGGGGGGAGGTCATGCGGTCAAAGGGCGGTGGGGGCTGTTTCCCCAGGGCAGAGATTCTCCAGGGAGAAAGGGGGGGGGGGCTTTGGACTGAGGGCCGTTCTCTGGTGCCCCAGAGCTGGAACCATCTCTGGCTGCCAAAGGCTGGCACTAAGGAAGCCAGAGTTTTCAGAAGCATGAAACACCCCCCCCCCCTCGCTGCCTCCAAAGCGCAGTGCAGAACGGTTGCGGCCAAAAGCAGGGACCGGAGCAGCGCAGACGGCCGTTCTCTGTTTTTTCTGCTTCGCGGGCGAAGGAATTGTTAGTCGATGGGCGAAGACTCAGAACCTTTGCAGACTGGCTCCGTTGCATGCTGGGAAAGAGAGAGAGTGCAGGGAGGGGGCAGTGCCAGGCAGGCCACGGTGTACGCCTGCAAAGTGGGCAAGCAGCTCCAGCCCAACCAACCAGCTGCCTTGGCAGTGCTTGTGTCCTGCATCCATGCAAGGTCCTCTGGGCCTGTTGATCCGGTCAGCAGAGAGCTGGCAGCTGCCCAGTGGGCGGCATCTGCCGGCTCTCGGGGGGTGGGGGGGGTGCTGGGCTTAGGGCCTGGGCCAGGTGAGCGTGATCAGGAGCCCCCTCCCCCCCGCAGGTACCTGTACGCGGGGCTGCTGCTGCTGGTCACCCCGGCCGTCACTCTCCTCCTCTGCATCTTCCTGTACCAAGAGCTGATGGAGTATCCCATTTCGCCCCTGGAGGGCTGGCAGCGCTTCCTCCAGGTGATTGCCGAGGGGCTGCTGGACCACTACCTCTATGGCTCCATCGTCTTTCCCTTCGTGGCCATCTTCGTGTACCCCTGCTGGCTGCTCTTCTGGAACGTGCTCTTCTGGAAGTAGCTCCCCTCCCCCGGGCACTGCCAACCGGAGGCCAGCGAGGCCTTGAAGTGGACCAGGGAGGGGGAGCCCGGGGGCCCGTCCTGCACAGCAGCTGCTGGTGACCAGAGAGCTCTCCAAGAGGGCAAGAAGGTGGTGACGTTGAAGGTCTGGCTGGCTGCAGGCTGGGGCCCGCTCTGGACAGGCTGTAGAGGTTGGCTTGGGGCCCAGTGGGGCCCCTGATTCTCTTGGCCTTTGCTGTGGTTGCAATGAAGCCAGAAAGACTGTCCGGAGGGCAGGGAGGGAGGGGGGAGCTGTGGTTTGCCTGGAAAAGATTTTGACAAAATAAACACTTTGGAAGTTGTCGCGCGGAGTGGATTGCTGTGCGCTTCCCCACCCCTCCCCTGGGTCGTATTTCAGGCACTCAAACCCTGAATCAATGAGGCCTTCAGGCCGTTGCAACACTGACGCTTCAGAGGGTGAAGGACGAGCTGGGGCTCTTGAACAATGAGTTTAAAAGAAGGAAATTGAACTTAAACAATGGGTGCTACCCAACAAAATGAAATTTAATGTGCAGAAAAGCAAGGCTTTACACCTAGGTGGGGAGAACCAAAGGGACAAGAAGCATAGATTAGGCAAAATCCGGATCAAAAACAGGAACTGAGAGGGACCAGGGGGTCCCAGTGGACGATCCCTTAACAGGAGCCTGCCGTGTTCTACAGCAGCAGCCCAAAAGCTACCGTAATCCTCGATTGCATGAACAGGCATAGAATCAACATGGCTTTATGAAGCCTCCAGTAAGGCCACCCGTGGAATCTTGCATCCAGCTTTGGTCCCCACATTGCAAAAAAAGATGTTGAGACTAGAAAAAGTGCAGAGACTCCCCTATCTCCGCTGCTGTTTATATTAACCTTAGACATTTTAGCCAGGAATTACGTAAAGAGGAACAGATAAAGGGACTAGAAATAGAAAAGGAACAATTTAAGTTACAGGCCTTTGTGGACGATCTAGTGTTTGTGTTAGAGGATCCTATAAAGTCTGGTATGAAACTCATTGAGGAACTGACAGAGTATGGGAAAATAGCAGGTTTAAATATGACTAAGACTAAAATGCTGGTTAAAAATATGACATCAAAAGCAAAAGAGGAGTTAACGAAGAAATTATCCAAACTGTCAAAAAAGTCAGATATCTTGGTATATACGTTTATCTGCGAGGTGTGTGACCGTCAAAGAAGATAACTATACTAATTTGATCAATAAAACTAAGACTTAGAAAGGTGGAAAAACCTACAACTGTCCCTGATGGGTAGGATCACAGTCATAAAAATGAACATATTACCAAAATTTCTTTTCCTATTTCAGAATATTCCCATTAAATTAGAAAAAAGGTTTTTTTAAGGATTTGAATCAACTGGTATGAAATTTATTTGGCAGGGAAGAAAACCAAGAATAAAACTCAAGGCTATGCAAGACACTAAGGAAAAAGGAGGATTTGGCGTACCAGATTGGGAACTTTTATTATACTGCGGCCACCCTAACATGGCTAAGAGAATGGATAACGTTGAGAAATAAAAGATTACTCAAATTGGAAGGCCGTGACCTCCCAAGTAGGACGGCATCCCTTCCTTTGGTATGAAAAAGGACCTGCACATACATATCTCAGTAGACATTAAATCAGACAGTCCCTGTTATTGATATGGAACAAAATTAAACACGACCACTACACCAAAATACCCATTTGCCTATCTACGATGGAAGCATACATACATCCAAATTTAGTTAATATGGAAAATATAGTTGCATATAAAGAGTTATTGAACAGACAGGGGGAGATCAAAGCTAGATTAGAATTGGCATCACAAGGGGTACAAGTAGAATGGTGGACCTACTTACAGACACAATCAAGGTTTGCACAGGATAGGAAGAAGGAAGGTATTGCCAAAGACTACACAA